TCCTCCCCCTCCTCTAACCACCAGATGCTCCAGTCTGGCTCAGCTTCACCTCAAGCTGGCTGTGGCCACCATACCTCGCACTAAGGTTCACTCAGTGTGGAACCCAGATGCCAGCAGTGGCCCTGCTCTGGTCATCCCACGTCTGTGTGCACATCCAGACGGTGCTGTCTGCTTCCATGTGTGCACGCGTGTGCAAGTGTGCATCCCTGGCTGCACACCAGAGCCCAGGGTGACCGAGCTGCAGCTGCTCTGCGATAGTCTGCACAGCACCTCTTCCTTCCCAGCTAATGGCCCCTTTCGGCTGCTTCCTGGGGTCTCCCAGCACCTGCTGCTTGTGAGGCTTGTGCCTGGAAGACCTGGAAGAGACAGCTGAGAAGTGTCACAGATGGCTGCTTGGCCTCAGGCGGTGAGCCCAGGCAATTCTGGAGTTGCTGTTCAAGGCCACAAGCTCTTGAGCGGAGACTGGCAGGGTGTGGTGTATATGTGTGACTGTGTCACTGAATATCTGTCTACACACGTGTGCATGTTTATGTGTGTTCATCAACATATATGATTGTGACTGTCCCCAGACATGCATATGCCCACACGTGTGTGGGTGGAGGTGTGGCTGTCAGTCTCTGTGCCTGCACGTGTGCACATGGAAGGGCACGGGAGAGTTAGCGTGCACGCACAAATGTGTGTGCATGTGTGTGCAAGGGCCCTAAGGCTTTGTGTGGAGCCAGGGCCAAAGGGACAGATGCCAGTGAGGCCAGGCGCCTCTCTGGGCCCATGCTCCACGAACATTTTCCGTGGGCCAGGTCTGTGCCAGGGTTAGGGACACTGGACAGCAAATCCCTGACCTCTGAAGGATAGTTATGACCAACTTACCCCCACAGCAAGGCTCAGGGAGGTGAAGGCCTGGCTGGGTTGCCCTGGGGGCCTGAGCAGTGGTGACTGCTCCCACTTGTTGCCTGGGAACCCCTTGCAGGTAATAGACCACCCAAAGGCTGTGCACGATGCCCAATGTGCAGTCAGTGCTGCAATGTCTGTCCCCACTGACGACCAGTGTAGCTGGACCCTGGTCCAGCAGCCCTCAGCTCCTGCTTCCCTCTCCTGGGCTTGCCATCCAGAGCCCTGAATCCTAGGACCTTCCTGGAGGCCTGTCCCACAGGCTGCCACCAGCTGATAAGGACAGGAAATGCTCTGGCCACAAGTGGCCTTTCCGATAACCCTGGCAGTGCCCGCCACCCCTCCCTGGCCCCTGGCTCTTATCAGCAGCAGCAAACGTAGGCTGGGTGGGAGCCATGCTGACTTCCCAGAGCTCTCGTGGTGTTTGCAAACTGACAGCCATGGGGCAGGGCCAGGCAGTAGGCTGTCTGGGAGCCCTCCCAACCCATGCCTGATGTGGCCCTCGGAAGCTAGAGGCCTGGACCATGAACAGGGGCTGTTTGCACATCTCAAAGTCTGATCAGTTGGTAGAAGACAAAGGAAACCCTTGGGGACCAGGAACAGTGATGGGAAGGCTGCCCAGGGCCACCATGCCACCCTCCCCTCATTGGGGCTGTTCTCGCCCAGAGCCCAGCGTCCACCAAGGGCTGAATGTGGAGTTGGCAGTGGACTCCAGGGTCAGACCCAGCTGGTGCAGATACAGGCACAAGTTCGCCTCAGTGCCTCCGTTTCCTCCTCTGTGGGACAGGGAAGCAATTGAGGGCTACAGGAGGCAATGGAGGGCTCCATAGTGGTGACGGCTCCTGCACACCACTTGTCCCTCTGTCCCAATGTCCTCTCCCATGCATCCCTCTGCGCACCGCACTGAAGTGAGTCTAGTCTCCGTCCCCTCCATCCACCCACTGGCCTGGCCTCCCCTGGCCTGGATCTGGATACCCCAATCAGAGTAGATGGTCCTAAGATTCCTGCTGGTGCACTTGGGGCTCCTCTGCCACAAATCTAGGATGCCCATTGGCCACCACTGGCCACAGGCCTGTTTCTCACCTGTGTGCCCAGCACAGCACTCAGTGTGAGGCCACGGCAGGACAAGGCAGCTACTGCCCTGCCAACGAGTTGGGATGAAGATAGATGAGGGCGAAGATAGACGAAGGGGTGAAGCTGGCAAAAGCTAGAGGGTCCTGACAGGGGCCAAGTGCAAAGGCCCTGGGGTGGGCTCTGCCTGGTGTCTGAGGAACAACTCAGAGCCTGGTGTGGCTGCAGCCAAGTGAGCAAGGTGGGGGGGGCGGTGAGGAGATGAGGGACTCAGGAGCCACAGTGGCCACACAGCTTTGTCTCTGAGGATGGTGGGAGGTACAGAGGGTTCTGAATTAGGGGAGATGAGCCCTGTCTTACACAGGGTCTCTGGAGAGATTGTGGGACAGAGGTAGCCACTGCAAGAGTCCAGGTGGGACAGCGCCTAGACAGCTGGAGCAGAGGAGAGGCGAGAACTGGACAGAATTCTGACAAGCTCAGAAGGCAGAGCCTTGGGATCTGCCAAACTGGTATTTAATTTTTTTCTTTTTTGGTGGTACTGGGGTTTGAACTCAGGGCTTCAAGCATGCTAGGCAAGTGTTCTATCACTTGAACCACTCGGTCAGCCCAGGATCGGCCAAACTGGCTAAGGAGCAAAGGAGAAGTGAGGGGACTGTGACTTCTCTGCAGGTAGGCAGATGAGGGACAGGGGCTGGCTACATGTTCGTGGTCATTCTGCCCTGTGGGGCTGGGACAGGCAAACCTGGCACCTGGACAGCCGCTGGCCCAGAAGAGGCCAGAGCCCCCCTCAACCCTGGGGCCTCTGCTAGGACCCCCATCGTCTCCAGGAACCAGCTCCCCTAGATGCCTGCAGCCATTGGGGCCGTCTACTGAGATAGCTCACCCCATAGTGCAGTGCCTTTCCTAGGCTCCCGCAGCTCCCTGGGCCTCAGATGAGGGCCAATCTCACAGCTGAGCAGACCAGGTCGCACATCCCAGTACTGGGGACCCCCTCGCCCGGGCATTCCACATGGGCCATCCTCAAGCCTCTGCTTCTCCCGGCACTCCCCCTTACCCAGCCACACTGGCCTGCTTATCCTGGGGGCCTTTGCACCTACCATTCCTCCACCTGGAGCCTTGTCTCTTCACTGCCCTGTAACATACCCTCCACAGGGCTGGTTGGCATCAGATTACTGGCTGGTTTGTCACCTCCCCCACCAGGTTCTAAACCCGAGGGGTAGGACTGTGGCTCACGACCTCCGAAGCGCTCTGCAGGTGACCAGCACACATCTGTCAGGAAGAATGGATGAACACGCAACTGCGAGGAGTTACCTCCTCTGCAGCCCAGACCCTTGCCTGGGTTCCTCAACTCCGAGTTCTGGGACACTGGGACTCCAGGTGTGGGGCCCTTATACCCAGCCAACACACCTTCCCTTTCAGACTGTCACCTAGCTGCCAGCCTCCCCAGGAGCGGTCATGGATACTCCATCTGCCGTCTTCACAGTCCTTCCTTGGGGTCTCCCACTGCCACCTGACTCCAGAGGGTCTGGTGCAGACCTTAACTCCCACCATCCCTGCCCCGCAAGGGGCTGCACACCACTGGACAGCGCACATGGGGCAGGGTATGCCTGCCCTCCTGTCGTCCCACAGCTACCACAGGCTGCCATTCAATGATCAGAACCTCCAGGCCAGGAGGGACCAGGCAGAGGTCACCCACGGCCACCAACCTTTAGAGAAAGATCAGACGACATTCTCTTTAAAGAAAACAAGTTTTATTTTTATAATCTGAACATTCTAATAAAAATATTATTATAATATTAGCTACCTTTATTTTCGGGGCCTTGACTCGGTACCAGGCATGCCCTGGAGCACCTGCACACTCAGCTCCCTGAGGTAGGATTGAGGGGACACCCTGCTGCCCAGCCCACTCGTCCAGAGATGGGGGGCCTGCGGGAGTCAATACAGGGAGCCCGACAGGCAGGGGTGTCCCAGCTGGTGGACAGCATGTGGCAACAGGGGAGGACAGGCACAGACCTTGCACTCTGACCTCCCTGAGGCCCACCGAGAGCAGGCTGGGGTAGAGGTCCTAAGTGGGGTGGGGAGCAGGGCAGGGCTAAGGCCTCAACAGCGGCGCAGGAAGACACCTGAGAACTCGCCGGGTGGTCAGCAGACACTTCTGTGTGGAAACACTAAAGCCTCCGGCTGGAGCATCAACAAAAACAAGTCTCTCAAAGTCAAAAATAGGCTTGGGACTCTTGATGGCAGTAGTCTCCACTGAAAAAATAGACTGAAATTCTGAAGTCGTCTTAGTAGAAAACAAATCCAACAGGATGACACTGTGGCCTCTGCCACCGGGACATGTGTGCCACAGGCCACGCCTGGACAGTGCTGGCCGCAAGCAGGTGGCCTCAGCGAAGAGGAAGGGGGTGTCTCCCACCAGAGTGGAGGTCACTCAGCCTCCCTCCTGGGCCTCTGGAGTAAGGCACCCGGAGGGACAAGGCCCCTACGTCACCCCTCCGAGGCCGGGTGGGGACAGCCCAGCCCTGGAGCATGAGGCAGGAGAGGCGCAGGAGAAGTGCCGGGCTCTCCCCACCCATTCTTCCTTCTCACAGTCCTCACTCAAGGCACAACGGGACCCAGGCTGGAAGAGAAGCTTCCTGGTGCTGTCCAGAGCACAACAGGGCCCTGAGGGCCTGGGCCGGCCAAGGCCCGGTGGCCCTGCCTGCTGCACCATGGGTGCTGTGGCTGTAGCTGGGCCTCACTGCATCCTGTCAGGCTGCAGCTGGGGCGCCTGGTACTGCAGGAAGGTGGTGCCCGCAGGGGCTGTGGCTGACAGCGTGGGGGGCACAGTGGCCGGGTAGCCATAGCCCACGAAGCTGGCAGCTGTGGCAGGTGAGGCAGCATACGGGTACTGGTCATAGGTGGCTGGTGGGTACTGGGCGTAGGCAGGACTGGCTGGTGTGTACTCAAGGTAAGGCGAGGACAGCGCCGGGACTGGGGTGGCCGGGATCACCACGCTGGGCTGTAGGATGGCTTGCGGGTAGATGTAGTGGGGGGTCAGCCTGCGGACCAAGCAGAGAGTCAGAAGCAGGCAGCAGAATGTGGAAAACACAGCGGCTCAGGGAGCAGGTGGTGCTGTGTGCTTCATCTGTAAAACAGGCACAAGATGCACCAGCTGGCTCCTACCTCAGGGCCTTTGCACAGGCTATGTCAGGTCCCTGCAGGCCATCTGCACAGCTTCCACAGCACCCTGCCACCCAGTAAGGCCTTCCCAGATTAGACCACCCACCCCACACTACTGTCTCCAACAGGACCCACTATCGGATATGAAGAACCCAGGGCAAAAATAAAAACGTGGGGCCTTTATTTGAAACTGATTAAAAGCCTGGTGAGGTGGCACACACCTGTCATCCCACCAACACGTAAAGAATAGGAAGATCACAGTCCAGGCTCACCAGGGCATAAACTCGAAACTACTGGAAAAATATTAAAGCAAAAAGGGTTGGGGGCAAGACTCAAGTGGTAGAGTGCCTGCCTAGCAAGCACCAAGGCCCTGCATTCAAACTCCTGTACTTCCAAAAAAACAAAAAGGTGGGGGGGGGGAGGGGGAGGAGATTAAGAATTTCAAGACAGTGCTGGATGCTGGTGGCTCACACCTGTAATTCTAGCTACTTGGGAGGCTAAGATTGGGAGGATCATGGTTGGAGGTCAGCCTGGGAAAATGGTTTGAGAAAGCCCATCTCTCCAAACTAATCAGAGCTACGTGGACCGGAGGTGTGGCTCAAGCATAAAAGAGAATGCTTTGTAAGATTAGTGAGAATGCTTTGTAAGCACAAAGCCTTGAGTTCAAACCCCAGTCCCACCAAAAGAAAAAGAAAAAAAGAATCCCAAGGCAATAAGGGCAGGGTGTGGAGTCACCACCCCAACTGGCACTGCTCTGCTTGGCTCCCTACCAGGATCACTATGGCTGCCACGGGAGTGCAGTACACACCTGCTGTGGGCCACATGGGTGAGGAAGTGGAACAAAGACCACGGTGAGAGACATGAGGGCAACTGCCGAGGATCAGGCCGCACGCACTTACCCACGCCCTGCTGAGTGACAAGACACCTGCACCCAGGGAGCAGTTTAATCCACCAGTCTATCATGACACCACTCTACACAATGAAAACTAAACCCCAGGGAGCAGGTGACCAGCCAAGGTCTCCCCTGGCGACAGGGGCACCACAGAGCTGACACAGAATGCAGTGTGGCCTGCTTTCTTCAAGTGGCCCTGGCCTTGCCACAGTGCATGCAACCTAGAGGGGAAACCAAGGCTGGAGGCATAGGGAAGGTGCTGCCCTGGAGTGGGCCTGCTCTGTTAGCAGTTGCTGGACGGGCCCTGGGTGCAGCAGCAGCACCACCCATCCCAGCCCATTACAGGCCACGTACCCACTCCTGCATGGTGCAGGGAACAGGATGCCCGTGGGTGACTTGGGCGGAACAGGATGCCCGTGGGTGACTTGGAGCCTCAGCTTCCTCCCTCGCCTAAGACAGGCCCACCTGCCCACCCTGCTCAACCCAGAGATGCTGCTCTACCTGGAAAGAAAAAGGAGGGCATCCTCTGGGTGCTCCCACCTGCTGGGAAGGAACGGGTCTTGTGGTATGTGAGAGCACACCAGACACCACTCCCCCGGCTGGGGCCTTGGAATGCAGAGGAGCTGGTGCTCAAGTCCCAGAAGCACGTATGGAACCATGGAAAGCCCAACTGTCCCCCATGGGAGACACATGGGGGACACAGAAGAACTGAGAATCCCGCGAGGCCGGCCACTCCATAGCACACGGAGCACGTACAGAGGGAGGAGGGAACTAGGATTAGTGTGGGTCTGAGCATCTGTATGGGGACAAGGGGTCCACGTGCATGACTCAAACCAAAGCCACCAGCCACCACAGTAGGACGTGAAGCCCAAAGGCCATCAGCTGCCAGCAAAAAGCCACGGGGCTGCCGCTCCACGCGCTGGAACCACACCCGGGCATGAGCAGGGAGTCGCTGATGCCAACGCCACAGTGACCCTCATGAGCTCCATGCCAAAGACAGCAGTCGGCAAAGGCCACAGGCAAATCCACAGGCCACACGGAGCCAAGTGCCCAGAGGAGCTGGGGCAGGAACGGGCCTTGTGGGCCGAGGCAGTGGCAATGGCTGCCTAACACCGTGAAGACAAGAACCCGCCACACGTGGACAACAGGGTTGTCACGTGCACTTTGCCACCACAGGAACACGTACAGGCCCGGAGGCAGGAGTGACAGCGCCAAGCTGGGAGATGTCCTGGGGCCAAGCAGCATGAGCAGCGGCAAAGGCAGGCTGGGGCTGATGGCAAACGCCTGGAGACTCATCCTCCCTGTCCAGGTGCTCCTGTGCTACATCACCCCAGTTGCCACTCCCTGCACACACAGTGACCTTTCACAGATGTGTCCTGCAGGGGCACCCACCAGCCCTCTCCCACTTGACATCTGTGCTGTCCACCCTGCCTCCTCCATGGGAAACAAGTCCTGAACAGCAGAGGGCCTGGATTCAAATCCTCCCTCTGGGATGTGAGGTAGTTTCATGTTCCTGTCCTGCAAGGCTCTGCTTCTAGGTCAAGGAAGACACAGCACAGCAGCAGAACACTAGAGCCTCGTGGGAAATGACAGAGCAGAGGGCCAGGCTGCCTGGAAGGCAGGGCAGGAGAGGATGAGCTGGGGAAGGGAGGAAATGGCAGCAGAGAGGAGGCAGGAGGAGGGGACTCTCTCATTGTCACCTGCCCACAGCCCTCCCCTAGATCCACAAACCAAAACTGTGCTGCAACACCCCCTCCTCCTGCCCCCTTGAGGCCCTGGTGCCTCAAACACTCAGGTCCAACCCTCCTGGAGGCCCCATGCCTGCTCTTCTGGCTGGGGCCCTGTCCTGGAGCGACCTCCCTGACCCACACAGGGCCAGCACCACCTCCCTGCAGACCCTGCTCCCAGGCCTGGGTCTGCCCCACAAATGGTGACTCTGGAAAGCTCTGCCCAACTGGGTCTGAGGCCTGTCCTGGTTCTGTGCCCAGCATCCCGGTGCCCCCAACTCGGGGGCCCTGTCTGGCCATCAGAACCTGGACAACATTCCTGAGACTTGGAGACTCTGTAAGCACTCAGCCCAGAACGTCCCCAAACATGAGGAGGAGTGCCCCCACCTTAGACCTCCCTGGGCGATAACAAAATGGCTCCCTGCAAAGCCAGATGGGCAAGGGCTCTGCACTGACCAGGGCAGCAAGACAGGGGACCTAGGTCCAGGACACATGCACTTCAGGACCCAAGGGTCCTTACCCACCTTGAGGGCCCAACCTGGCCAGATGCTGCCATTTCTACCTGGCTCCTGGAGGCCCTGCAGACTTCTCTACACACCTATCCTCAGAGACAACTCGTAGCTGTGGCTTGGGCAGCCACTTCTTGTTTGTACTGAGCCCAAGACCCTTACATAGCACCTGAAGCCACAGAGCAGGCCCTGCACTTAACTCCCAGAGGCCACTGGCCACTGTGCTCTCAGGGCCTGGCTGGGCCTAGTCTGGGATCAGGCTGAGAGAACTGGCGGAGCAGGGGCAGTAAGGAGTGTGTAATTCCACTGCACTGGGCCAGACCAGGCAATGAGCACTGGTCAAAGTCAAGGTGGAAGAAGCCACAAAGCGTGGGGCAGGGCAGGGCAGGCCTCAGCATCTCTTCCAGTCTGCGCCTGGGCTCTGCACTTAAGCAAGATGGAGACCTGAGACCTTCCATCTGCACCTGTGCCATCGGCCCCAGAGGCCCTGGCACAGGCAACTCCACCAGAACAGTGGCTCTCACCCAGGGGCTGTGTCCCAGGGACGCCACACAGCATCTGGGGAACTTCAGGTTGTCTAAGCTGGGGAAGAGAAGAGGTGCTCCAGCACCTCAGAGTATGAGGCCGGGGTGCTCATACCCTACGATGCCCAGGACAGTTCCTACAGCACAGAATTACCCAGCCCCAACATCACTGGTGTCACAGCCAAGAACCAGCCCTATCGCAGTCTCACAAACAAGGGGAGGGGTGGCAATGAGTACTCACTGAAGCCACGACCACAGGTGTCCAAGCTGGAGGCCAGAAGGAAGGCAGGAAGGGGCAGAACATGGGGCCCACGTCTGCACACGCAAACTCACTTGGCCCTCTGGCCAGAAGGAAACACTCAGCTGCTGCCTGGGCGGCCTTGGCTCCAGGACCTGTACATCAATTACAGGTCCAATTCCTGCCTGCCTGCCTGGCCCTGGAAAATAGGGCCACGTGTGCCCAGAAGCTTCCCCACTGCCACCAAGGCCTCCACTTGCCTGACCCCCTCGCCCTGGAAAAGGCACAAGCTGCCTACCTGCCAAGTCTCAGGTACAGTGTCCCTGCATAGGCTCATTTGCCTATCTGCCACCATGGTAGGGCTGGCTGCCCTCCCTGACTCCGTGAAGAGCTCACCTCATCACATACCAGGAGTGCCCTCATAGCCACTCCTCTCCCTCCTCAGACCAAGCCACCTAGCCAGCCAGCTGGAGAAACCAATAAAGACCTCAAGGCTTTGTTCCTGGGCCCAGAACACTCCAGGCAGCTTTTCATGGAGCCCAGAAGCAAACTGCAATGCCCCCACAGCCTTCCCATGTGACCAGGCCTTAATTCTCATCTCCACTCCTGTAATTCCCTCCCAAGACATACCTGCCACCCTGGCCTCCTCCCCTGACTCCTGTCGGCCCCAGGGCCTTGGCACCTGCCATGCCTCTGCCTGTAGCTTCTTCCCTTAGCCAGGGGAAGAAGCCCTCAGGGGCCCTCCTGGGCTGCTTTTCTTACCATCTGAAAGAAGACCTCTACCTTGACCACTGTGTTCCCAGGGCCCGGCACAACCTCCGCAGAGTGCTCAGGCAGGCCCAGCCTTACAGGCATCAGGGCGGGCAAAGGTAATCGGATGCTTCCTAAGCCAGAAATCCCAACCCCAGGACAGAAGGCATCACATCCTTGAGCAGCCACAGTTGGGCAGGCTAGGGACAGGTGGCGTGGTGATGTCCTCATCACTACCT